AATCATTTTCGAATTAGGGTTTAAATTGAATATGTTGTTTGAATTATATATAATGTGTTGTGATTGAGATATGTATGTATGTTGATGGATTGTTTGTTTATTTTGTTTGATAAATTGAGTGGTTATTTGGAAATTGATTAGGGTTTTGTAGTTTGTTTAGAAATATATGATTTGAAGGTGTTCGATAAAATACCTCAAAGGGATTGTTGTACATATTATTGACATATTGTGAATATGTGATGATTGTGATGAGGTGAATTTATTTGTGAATATTTATAATATGTTTAGGGATTATTTTGTCGGAAGTTGAATTGTTGGAGTCAAATTGTCGATTAGAGATTATTTTCGATTTATTATGTATATGATTTTTGAATTTGTGGATTTATTGTTTAGTTCATTTATTTGTGTTTTTGTGATTTTTTTTGTGTGAATATGATTGTATTATTGTAATATAATTAATTATTGTTAGTATGTAGTATATAATGATTGTTTTTTTTTTTGGCAGAAAATGGCATCTTCGTCGTCCTCACAACCGCAGCGCTACAATGTACATCCCGGTCCGAGGGATCCGTCGACTCTATATCTTCAGTACTGCCACCGGTCGAGTGATTTGTTCGAAGATATAGGCGGATGTCGTGACGGCGTCATTAAACCCCGCCGTTTCGACACTCAGTTCTGGAAGGCGTTAGATCACCTGCATCCCAGAGTTTGGGATGCCATCGAGAAGACGGGGTTTGGCCCGCTGTTTCGAATGGGGAGAGTTATGACCGACAACAGCATCGTCGCGTGTCTGGTGGAAAGGTGGCGACCGGAGACGCATACCTTCCACTTTGACTTCGGGGAGGCCATCATCACGCTACAGGACGTACAAGTCCTTTTTGGTCTCCCGATCGATGGAGAGCCTTGTTGGGGAGCGACTCAAGATAACACACCCCATAAATGGAAAGAAATTTGTAACGGTTACCTAGGGTTCGAGCCCTATGTTCAGGTAAATTTTTTTCTTACAATTTATTTTTTTGTTTTTAATTTTATTTATGTTTACTCAATTTATTAATTTTTAATATACATAAACCACTCTCAGGATCCCGACGAACCGGTTCAAGACCCCAAGACTTGGGCCATTCATGGCCAGTATTTGAAGGTCTATGCGTTAGAAGATGAGTGCAACAGAGAGCTAACCGATGTGGAGCATATCCCCACCTACGAGGCGAGGGCGAAGGCCCTTATACTCTGGTGCATCGGTTCTTTCTTCTTCCCCGACCAGAGGGGAAATGGAGTGAACCTGTACTGGTTGCAGCTTTTGCACGACATCGATACGATCAAGACGTACAACTGGGGTTTGGCGGTCCTGGCCGGAGTGTATAGAGCGCTCTGCACGAGCGCCAGGTCCGGGAAAAACTGGATCAAGAACTGTGTCCAATTGATTCAGGTAAATTTATTTGCTTCTTATTTGAAAATTTATTTTTTTTATTCTAATTTAGACTAATATCTAATAACAAATGAATATGTCGATATGTGTAGGTTTGGACATATGAACGTATCCCTTGTATTCGCCCAAGAATGAGGGATACGAACTTTGAGAGAGTCCCTCCTTGTCCCTTAGGTGAAAGGTAATAAAATTTATTTATACTTAATACTTAGATTATTTCCACTATCAAATTTTGTGATTACAAATTATTATTTTTTTTTACTGTGACTTTTAAGGTGGGTGGGAAGGAGGAGCACGACACACCTGGGCAAGGGAACAGCCACCAACCGGGATCAATTGACAGGCCTCACAGAGACGGATGTAAGATTATTATTATTATTATTTTTATTTGTTCTTTTTTTTTAATTTTTTTTATAACTTAATTCCTAATTTTTTTTTGTATATTTTTTTTTTCAGTTCGAATGGCTACCCTATCAGTGGCACCTGCAAGCGAATGTTCTCCCGGCCCAGTGTACAGAAGGTTCACACCTCTGGATGTATAGGGGGTGGATCTTCAACTGGAACGTCCGTGAACTCCACCTGCCTGATAGGGTCCTCCGTCAGTTCGGGTGCCGACAGTCCATCCCCGAGCCTCCTATCCTTACGACTGAGACCGAATATCGGTTACACCATCGAGGCCAGGGGATGACTGGGAGGCCAGTTTTTTATTGGGTCGCCTTTTACGGAGAGTTTGGGAATGCTTGGGTCGAACATAGAGACGAAAATGTTGCCCAGCCCAAACAGTGGAGCCATTCATTGAGCCTGAGCCGGGTTACCTTGATTGGTTTCACAGTATCACTGTGAGACTACTCGGTGACCCTGGCAAGTACGCGGTGGCCCAACCGGACAGAGGCTTTCACCCACTTGCCGAGCAGGGGAAGTGCGATGTAAGTAATATATATTTGTGTTTTATTATTATTATTATTATTATTATTATTATTATTATTATTATTATTATTATTATTATTATTATTATTATTTAGTTTTTGTTTCATTATAATTGACTTTGAATTTAATTTTCAGGCTACCTCCATGGAGGGTGCTTTTCACACGTTATCTAACGTG